CTCAGATATCCAGGTCCTAAGCCATGTAGGGCTTTAAAAGTAATGACTAGCACCTTGAAGCACGTTCGGAGACCAATAGGAAACCAGGGCAGCTCGCGGAAGATGGGTGTAACATGAGTGTATCTAGGTACACCCGATATCGCTCGCGCGGCTGCATTCTGGACCAACTGTAGTCTCCGAACACTTTTCAGGGGCAGCCCCCATGTAGAGTGGGAGAGAGATTGTATCTAACATTTAATCAGAATCTTCTTTCCTCCAGTTGGGATCACCGTTTCATGGGTAGTACTTTGCTATTACAACAGACTGTACACTTCCTGTGTGCGGTGTCAGTTAGGGCACTTGTAGAAAGCTGACAGTTGAAGTGTAGCTGTCTCCTCTGCATCACCTTTCATTGGGGCAAAGGGCTTTTTTCCTTATAGGGAGCGGTTGGCTAACTTTGTGGGGTGTCTTTGCAGGATTGTGATCCCTCGGTTTGTTCAGCAAAAACTCTACATATTTCTTCAGCACTGCTTTGGTCACTGGCCTCTGGATGCATCTTTCAGAGCTGTAGGTACCGTTTGAATGTTGGTTGTGCTCATATATGTCCTTTCAGGCTGAGGATTTGAATTTCAGGGCATTGATGGAATTAGTGCTTCTAATTTCTAAGAAGTCTTGGAAGTTCTGTCATGCCTTGCAAAGCAGGATCAGGTTGCACAGCCTCAGTCAGTAAAATAATAGTGGTGCTTAAAAAAAACAACCCAAGATTATTAAAAATATCACTCTTAGCTTCTACAGTAAATTATCCTATATAATACTAACAATAATCAGTAGTAAAGTTATTGATATTTATCACATAAAGAAAAATTATTAAATTACATATCAGCTGATTATTCATTAAAATAATACGTGATCTATATGCCATAAATATAATTGAAAAGTCCAAAAGAGGAAAAACTAGCAAGTTTTGTATTGGAAATTAAGATGAGGGAATGAGAGAAATGACTCTTGAAAGTGCAGCTAACAACAGTGAACAAAACAAAGAAGAGACCCGAGGAAACGCAATAACTATCATGGCATATAACATTTGCAACCCAGATTGAAACAATTAATTAAATCTTGGCCCTACGGAAGGGCAGTGTGAAGTCTTTCCTTCACATTAGTAGAGTGTCCCTTAGGTGGCATAGCAAGTCCAAATTTATTAACAGATAGATAAATTCCAATGTTGGAAATATAATTGAACAAGATTTTGACATAGTCAAATGATTTTCAAGAGCCTACACTGAGGTAATCATCTAACACGGGGCAGTTGTGAGAATAACTCTGAGGGAGAGGAGAAAGAGAGGAGGCACATAAGAGGAATCTCAGGCCAAAGCATGAAAGCCGCTCACTGCTTCGTTCACTTCGTTCTCTAGGGTGAGGGCAGTGGAGAAAGTCCAGGATCCTGTTACTATGGGTCTAGGACAATACGGATGGCCAACTCGTTGCGGGATAAGAGTTCCATTAATATAGAAGAAATAATGGAATAGAATCATTAAAAAAGGAGGGACAAAATGAAATAATGACAAAACTTAAAATAATATTTTTAATTATTTTAAATAATTTAATTGCATTGAATTGTCCCATGGTGAGTTGGCCACAGTGAGTTGTCCTATTCCATATTACCATAAGCCTACATGTAATAAAAGTAGTTTCAGTGTTCATAACTTCTGGTGTCCATATCTGATTTACCTTGTAACTCCATCCACTTTGTGCACTGGATGTAGGTGTCTTTGCAACATGGTTGATAAAGAAAGCTTTAAGTGAAGACATAGATTTAAACACCCCATTTGTTCCCACAGGTTCTGGAGATGTGGTTAAGTTACTTACAGCCTTGGAGATATGCACCGGAGAAGCAGCCACCAAGCGCAGAGGCCCCACCTCGTAGTGTATCAGAGAAATGGTGTGTCCTGGGCTGGGCCCTTGGAGCCCCTGCAGATCTGGCCAGCTACTTTTGCTCCCAGCATAAGGCGGGTTGGGTAGAGGGGGCGTGCAGGGGCCGGCCCTTCAGTGGCTGCCTGGGTGAGCTCCTTCAAGGTGGCTGGAGGCAGCAATGGATGTGGCTGCGCTGTCTTTGAGTCACAGCAGGAGGGTATGGGGGCAATTTTCTGGCCACCCTTCTCTCCAGCCCTGGCCGTTGCTGCTTACGTGGGGGCATTGGGGGCCATGGAAATGTCCCTGTAGTGTGAGGGTCTTTCTGCAGCCCTACTCAGCTTTTCAGGTGCCCGGTCATCTTTGCAGTGCCAGGAAGGGCCACACCTGTGTAACACGGATTTGCTGGAGCTGATTGTCCTGGGTGCCTGGGAGCTGGATAGGAAAGCAACTGACCACGCTCTCCGCTGGCTATTTTTTTAAAGGGAGCCTTTTATCCAGGAGAACCTGCTGCTCTACACAAAGCTCTTTGTCAGCTTTCTGAACCGAGCTCTCCGCACAGACCTGGTCAGTCCCAAGAATGCCTTGATGGTGTTCAGGGTGGCCAAGGTTTTTGCTCAGCCCCACCTGGCTGAGATGATCCAGAGAGGTAAGATACACCCCCACCCCACCTTCTCTGTGGCTGCAACCAGGGCAGCGCCAGGAGAGGGCAAGACCCCTTTCTGGTAAACGCTACCGCAGAGCCCACCTAGACTGCAGGCCAGCCACGCCAGAGCTTGAGCCCCTGCCAGCTCCTGGGGGCTTGGAAGCAGCCCCATTCCATGGTGACCAGAAGGGGCTTTCCCAGTCCTGAGACTGGCCGGGCCATTCCCATCTCTCTCTGCAGCAGAGCAGCTCTTCCTGGAAGCCGATCTGAGCCTTCCCCACCGCCAGCACCGCCTTTTCCTGACTCCCTCGCTCGGAGGCAGCTTCCTGTCAGGCCGGGCTCTCACCATCACGGACGCCTCCTTTAAAGTGAAAAGCCACGTCTACAGCCTCGAAGGGCAGGATGCCCAGTACAGGCAGATGTTTGGGACAGACGTCAGAAACCTGGTAGGTTGGTTGGTGCTGCTGAGTGGACAGGGAAGCCCCTCCCTCAATAGAACTGTGGCCCTTTGGCATAAAAGCTGGGCACCAAAGCTCCCCCCCCCCAGGGCACAGGGCCAAATTAACTTGGTGAGCCTTTTGTCCGCCAAGACAAGCCCACCCTACTCCTGCCAGCAAAAGAAGCCTGCCGAGACCCCGTTGGTCAAGGAACTCCGACTGACGGGATCAAAGAGAAGAGCCTTCTCTGCTGCACTACTGGCCCTCTGGGATGCCCTGCCCTCCCCAGGTGAGGTTTGTTGGCTGTCCTTCCGCAGGAGCCCGAAGGCCTGACTCTGCTCGTTGGCCTGGAGAGGCAACAGGGGAGTCCATCACTGGAGGAGGCTGCTGACCCCACCGCCCCCTCTGCCCATCTTCTTTAATATTATTGTACTTCCAGTGTCAATTTTTATTGTTTTATTCCTTTGCTATTGTTATTTTTACTTTTTTACCATTTTATTGTTGTGAGCTGCCCAGAGTAGCCCCCTGGTGAGATGGGAGACAAATAAATTTTAATAATTATATTATTTCTTTTATTCATTAAACATGAAAATCAGTCAAGTGAACATTTAAAGATCTGTCATAAATAACATTGACTAGTGCTAATGGTTGATACGGGTTACTGCCAACGTCCTAGATGTCAACCAAATACCTTCTTAAAATATAAGATGTTCCTAGTAGCACAGTGTTGTGCAGTTCTGCTGGTGGTATTGCAGGAAGCTGCAATATGTTTGTTTTTTGTTAAATTTTGGGACATGGTACCAAGTGCCCTGATGACAATGGGGTTACATGTTTCATCCATAGCTGTGTAGTTTCGATGGCCAGGTCGCAGTATTTTATGATTTTTTTTCTAGTTTTTTCTCCGACTCTGCATCTCCTGGTATAGCAATATTAATAAACTGTATGCTTTGGCCTTCTACAACTTTGATATCTGGTGTGTTGTGTTCCAACCTTTTGGATACAGGTAGGGCATATTTTTTACATAATGACCAGTGGTTTAATTTAGCAACTCGGTCGTGTCTAGCTTTGTACTCAGTTTGTGCAATTTTGCTGTATTCACATATTAAATGCAAAACAGTTTCGACTTTGTTGTTGCAAAGTTATAATTGTTGTTGTTGTTATTGTTATTATTAACCTTTGGTGAGATTCACAGCCTTTGGGGCTGGTTGATAGCTCAACAGCTCGAGTCCTAACCAAGGACCTAGGAACTGTTATAAGGTAACGTCGAAGGATATAAACTGTTCCAAGTAGGGTGTTTTTTTGTAGAGTCAGAATGTTCAAATCCATAAATTTAGAATTTTCAAATAGCAAAGCAGCCCTTTCGGCATTGCTCCAAGGGCTCCAATTACAATTGGGACAACACACGATTTCTTTTCCCATAGTCACTCAACTTCAATTTGCAAGTCCCT